CATTCATAGAACCCTGGTGAAGACAGCTTTGTCTTTATTACATCCACCAAAACCTCATTCCTCATCCAGAATCAGTTGATGCATCCTGGAGAAGGTTTTGAAGGGAATATTTTTGAGGCCCTTCAAGATTGATCTGTTTCAAAATGATGGATGAAAGCATTGATAACCATTTGAAACCCATATTTACCTTAGCCGCTTGCTAAATTCACTAAAAACAAGCATCAATCAAGATTTTTTTTTATAATCCATATCAATCAAGATGAAAAGGAATACAAAAATATCATCCGATCTTAATTGAATTGAAACAAAACAAAACTCATCTAAACTGAAACTCTACAAAATCCTCCTATATTTCCTCATTAAAGTGAAGTAGTTACCAAAAAGATTAAAACTGTTTTCACATTGTAGCCAAGTTTTAGGTGCCAGATTAAATCTAATGTGAAATGTGCTTCGGAAGATCGAGGCGTCTCTGAAGCTTTCGATGATGAGTGTACTCCGATCTTCCAGTGTCTGAAGACCAGCCAGGTGGTGGATCTCAGAATTTCGAGCCCACGGGGGACTGTTGAGGATCATCCTATGGATCTTGTTCTGGATCCTTTGGAGTTTGAGGCGATGGCACCTAGCACAGATCTCTCAGATTGGCATTCCGTATTCAATGGCTGGGAGGATGATTTGCTTGTGTTTTTGAGGGAAAGGGTTGACTTTCTGTTGATAAGAGGATAGAGCGACCTAATCAAGATGTTGCACTTGGTGGATGTTTTGTCCACATGGGAACGGAGGGGGAATACCACTTCACTCGACCATTCAATGGGAGTATTATCAAGGTGGACTTTCAAGTTGTTACCAGGCAGGACAAGCCGAGGTGAATTGGAGTCCGGAAATAGTATGGTCTGTGCTTTAGCTGCATTGATACAAATTTTTCAGCTTTTGAAATAGTCGGACCGAACATCCAGGCCTGATTGAAGTTTTCTCGTCAGAACACGGATCACTCGACCCTTATAGATGATGACAGTGTCATCCGCAAACATTGACAAATATCACCACCCGGAAGTGGAGGAACATCTGACGTAAAGATGCTGAAGAGGATAGGACCAAGGAGGTTATTTACCCTGGGGAACCCCAGCATCAACGTTGAACGTATCAGAAGGTGAATTGTTCAAGAAGACCTTTGAAGAGTAGTTTTTGATTATCTTAACAAGGAAGATCGGGAAGTTGTATCGATGCAGCTCTTGTACACAGGCCATCATGCCAGACATTGTCGAACGCCTTCTCAACGTCCAAAAATGCCATAGCAGATGTCTTGGAAACGGACTTGTTCCGCTTGATGATGTTAGTAACCCGTGAGTGTTGGTGGATGGAAGAGTGGTCATTCTAAACTCGAATTGCTCGTTGAGGAGAGTGTTATTATCATTTGAAAACACCAGCAAACGACCGAGTATCAGCTTTTCGAATAGCTTCGAAATGGAGGACAAAAGGCTGATGGGGCGATAGCTTTTGGCACTGGTTGGGTATTTGCCAGGCTTCTGGATTTGAATGACCTCGGCTAACTTCCAGAATGCAGGGAAGTAGCCAAGCACCAAAACTTATTGAGGGCCGTTGCAAGGTGCTCGAAGAAGTCAACACTCAAGTTTTTCAACTCGAGGTTGACCACTCCATGGACACCAGCGGCCATCATGTTCTTCGTTGATTTAATGGCTGCCATCACCGCATCAGCCGATATTCTACTTTCGTCAGGGTTAACTTCGGGGGTGGCAGCTACTCTAGATATTGCCTCCGATACTACAGGCTCGTGGGGATTCACCATGGCTTAGCCAAGGTTATGGGAATTCACAAAGTGTTGACCAAGAACACTGATAAGGATGCCATTTTCCAGAACGGCTTGTTTGCAAAATCGTTATATCTGAGATCCACCATCCTGGATTGGATGATTTGGTTTTACACGGTTGCAATTGGTCTTCAGATTAGGCAGCCGAGTACGCTGGTACCAACGATCAATACGAAACTAACGATTTTAAATTGGCTTACTACTTGACTAGCCTATTGGTCCCAAGCAAATGATTAACGTACCCCATTCTAGCGAAATTCTAGTACTATACAATGTTTGTTTTGATTCGCTATGAAAGTTTGACAGATAAAATGAGGGGTTAGTGGGATTTCCTATGTTTCGAGGGGTGAATCGATTAGCTAGGGACCGAAAAGAGTACCAGAGCTGAGCCAAAAAGTTGAGCACGTTTCTTCGGGACCTTCTAGTCTTAGAGTTACCTCTATGCTGGTACTGCCTACAAATCGTGTTGCGGAGTCTAATGAGGTAATTAGTGGGCCTGTCAAGGTTCAGAGCATTACTCACCTATCGGGATACTGGCACATGTTGCTCCCTTTCCCGGGATATCGCTTCATCAATTGAGCGGTGACACCGGTCGATGTCGTTGGTCGTTTCCGGCTGGACGTCATAGTCAATACTGGCGTCAACGCAGCGTTGGAACTGCGCCCAGTCAGCGCGTTGATAGTTGCGTCAGGAAGCTTCGAATTGATTCATGGAGGAACCCACTTCGGCCACCATTGGATAGTGGTCCTAGGTGAGTTATAAACCACAGGTTGCGAGATGTTGTTGGCCAAGTTGCTGATGTAGATGACGATGGTGGCGTGTGTCCGGTCTCAGGATGTTGTACTACGCTTCCTGCAGGTCATTGTACTTAATGGTGCCATTTTGGTTGCGCTGACTGTTTCCCCAAGCTTGATGTTTGGCGTTCAGATCCCGATGTTGATCTGTTTGGGGTAGTAAGCCACAACGATGGTGATGTGGCCGACAGGAGTAGAAACTTCCACCCCTATGGCTTCGATCATCTTCAGCTGGAAACTTGGCAGCAGCCAACAGTAGGTGCTTCTCCTTAGAGCGATAGCCACTCCTCCTCCCCCGGAGCTGGATCGATCCAGCTTCACAAACCGGAAATCGGGAAGGAAGACACTAATCTCGGGCTTCAGGTGTGTTTCAGTGATTATGGCGATATTGATGTTTCGTTCGTTGAGGAATTCAACGAACTTGATGCTCTTGTTGTTGTGCGAGCAAGCGTTCCAATTAGAAATCTTGATGACTTCACGGTCCATACTTATTGATGAGGTATACGGCATCATGAAGCTGTTCTGTTCGGTACTGCAGGTGCGCTGGATCATAATGGCTTCTGTCACGAGTGTAACAAACTCCACAGTTGTAAGCAGATGTAAGTGAGTGGAAGTGGCGGAAGCACAGGAATTTGGCGCCGTTGAGGAAAGTTCTGCCCGTCATTTTCTGGCACTCATCTGCGGCCAGGTTGATTCTGCGTAGAGGTGCGGATAGCAATGAATTCAACTCGTTTCGGGCATGTCTAGCTGGTTTCCCGATGTGCTGCTCCCCAATTGGCACATTTGGGGTCTGAGTCCTCCTTTAATTCGTAGGCATCAGGTGCGTGCTGCTGCCACAGTTGTTGCAGCGGTAAGCCATGTGGCAGTTTCTCGTTCCAGGCCTGAACAGCATGCAGTTTGCGCATTGGTTAACATCCCGGTGGACTGGCTTGTACCGTTCCCAAATCACCACGATGTGGAAAAGAGGCCGGAACGTTCTGTAGGTCCTTCAAGCATGTTGAATTCCTTTCCAGGTGAACCAGATACAGCCGGTCGCGATACTTACGTGAAGCATCATGACGATTTATCATGTTGCTTCAATTCATCTGACTGTTTACATGTCGGGAAGGCCACGCAAGACCATACCCCACGTCCAGAAATCTTCCATGTTTTTTTTTTGCTCCAGCAACGCTTCGACGCCCTTTTAGTGGTTCATCAGCTTGATGACTTCAGTGCACAGGCGCATGGTACACTTGAGACCTTTGCCGATGTAAAAATCGATTTTCTCCCGAAAGCCTTCCGGGAATCGTTTTGCAAAGAACGGTGGAACTTTCTCTTTCTTTTCCATCTTCGACTCATCGCCGTTTTCCAGCATGGCGTAACGATTATTCGTCAACAGCTTCTTCGATACCAATTGTGCACTGGCACTGTCCGATCGCTTCCCCGAATAGCAGTCGCGTCAACACTCGAGATAGCGAGTAAAAAACCGAGCTGTACTGCTTGATGGTCAATCAGAGAATGATCAACGATAATGGTGGCAAAGTTACCTGGAAAAAGTTAAACGTCAAAACTTGTTTATCTTTCGATAGTTTTGTTCTTAGGTTTGTTGTGTGATAATTGCAACGAGATTCTACTACAGTGTTGGGTCAACGAGTTGCGGACATCCTCAATAAGGACGATTTTCTCCCAATGGAAGCTACTCAAGAAAGTGTCTGGAAAGTGTAAATTGGAACAGGTAGGGGCTGAATCGTTCCGGAAAGGTTTCCCTTCTCCCGGACGATGCAATGAAGTTTATGTGCGCTTCCTTGGCTTTTTTGGAAGAGTTAACCCTTTCGCCGAATGAAATCGCTGCTATGAGTCGAAAGGCAGCCAATTTCCAGTTGACTGACAACTTCTGTAGTTCCGTTTCAGCAGATTTCCGCAGTCAAAGGATGGCACATGTTATTCAGATCATCATGGAAACGCAATTTATGGAGAAGGCTGGTCTGTTTTTATTCAGAACATGACGCAACATTTTAAGAGTCGAATTTGACGGCTTTCAGTGCTTCATGGACCGCATTAACTTCATTCTTCTCAGTAGGCTGTTCTCTTGTTGTTTATCAGTTCAGCCGGAGCTCCCATGAAGTTCTGGAATTGGATTCCTGTTCTAGTATCGAAGCACCCCCCGACTTTGCGAGCGCCGTATTTTTACCTTCGGGTTGAACCAATTTTCTATTTCCGGAAAAAAGAATTTGAAATGTCAAGTGAGTTTAGTTTTGTTTCATTCGTCCAGAATAATAAACGTGTTTTGAAATCGTAGTAAAAAAATAAGTATATTTTCGATTTCCGAAAGGCAGTCCAAGCTTTAAATCAGCAAAAGTACAGTTCGCTAATACCCAAACATTGGTCCTTCTAACCGGATAATGTCGGACCTGCAAAAGCTGATTAGCCGGAGGAACGCCCTCATGGCTCAAATCAATGAAGAGCTTTCAGTCGCGGACAACATCAAAGAGCGGAATCCGTCCCAAAGTGAGGTTAGGGACCGACTGAATCAGCTAAACGAGCTTGCTGCTAGTTTTCGGGAAACGCAGAGCTCCATCGAGGAGAAACAGGAGGACCCAGTAGCCACCGCATCGGTGCATTCGGTCAGGGAGGAGTTTTTCGGAATGTTCTACAGAGTGAAGGATATTTTCGAAAGTCATCTGGATGAGGTTGGATCTTCCGTGAGTCAGCAAACTGTTGCCAATACGGCCGATTGGAAGGAGGCACTTCATCTGCTCATCGAGACGCAGAGGAAGCTATTGTTGGATCAGGCGATGACAGCAAAAACCGTCGAAAATCTGTCGAAGTTTCCGATAGCTGCAATCAAACTTCCCGACGGAGAACAGGTGTCGAATGCTGCACCCCAGTTGAATGTTCGGTTGCCTGCCATTCAGATTCAGCCATTCAATGGTGAACGTAAACAGTGGATGACGTTTAAGGACCTCTACGTGTCAACAATCCACAATCGGGCTGACATTACAGATGCGCTCAAAATGCAATACCTCTTTTCCTATCTGGATGGAGACGCCAAACGCTTAGTCAACAAGTTCCCTATCTCGGGTGTGAATTACGATAAAGCGTGGGAGACACTGGTCAACCACTACGATAAAAAGCGTTTCACAGTGTTCTCGTTGGTTCACGAATTCATGGCCCAACCGACCGTAACTCCAGCATCGCCGCAGTCGTTGAGCAGACTAGTTACAACATCGGACGAGATTGTGCAACAGCTGGATGCTTTGGGGCAGGAGTTCAAAAGCCGAGATCCGTGGCTAATCCATCTCATCCTGGAGAAGCTGGACAAGGACACACGAGCCAGTTGGTCTCAAGAAGTAGTGGAGATTGAGAACCCAACATTCGAGGAACTGCTGGAGTTTCTCAAAAAGCGCTGTGAGGTGATCGAAACTTGTTCTGCGTTCGTGAAGAAACCAGTGAATGAACCGAAGAAGGAAGTACAAAGATCGGTGCCAATCTCGACGAAGCTGAAGACGCTGTATACGTCAACAACGGACAAAAAGTGCGCGAAGTGCTCCAGTGAGCACAATACGTATCAGTGTGAAGAATTCAAAAATATGAGTGTGAAGGACAGACGTGAACTAGTGCAAAAGGCCAAACTGTGTTTCAATTGCTTACGGCCATTCCATTCGGTGAAGTCGTGTACGTCGAAGTCTGTGTGCCACAACTCCGACTGCAAGCAACGGCACCATACGCTGCTGTGTCCTGTGGTGAAGAAGGCTGAACAACCGGAAGCAGAACAACAAGAAGATTCGGCGGTGGCCCCTGCAAAGGAAGAAAGTGCCATTGTCTCACTGGCGGCGGAAGTTCCGGAGAACAAGCAAAAATCTATCCCGTTGCTGCCAACGGCTGTTGTCAAGGTGCAAAAGGTGGATGGCGATTTTATGACAGCGAGAGTTCTCATCGATTCCGGTTCTCAAGCGTCGTTGGTGACAGAATCCTGTGTCCGGAAATTGCAACTACCACGACGGAACGGCAAGCTAGTAGTCAACGGTCTGGGTCAACAAGAGGTCGGAACGACACGCGGTGTGGTGACATTGCGCCTTGCATCTCGGTTCAAGGACACCCTAGTCTTGAACATTGAGGCCTACGTTCTTGGCAAACTGACTACCACAATACCGTCTCAGCCGTTCGATGTGGATAACATGAAGCTTCTAAATCAACTGGACGGGTTGGCGGATCCGGAATTCAATCAACCAGGCGTGATAGACATCATTCTGGGAGCAGACGTTTTTCTTGCACTCTTGGAGGGAGATCAAGTCAAAAACGAGAGCGGCCAAACAGTGGCCCAACGGACGATTTTCGGATGGATCGTAGCAGGCCGCTACGACGCTGCAGCTGTCATTCAATGCAACCACGCAATTCTCAGCCTGCACGTCGAAATGGATTTGAACCGCACCTTGCAGCAATTTTGGGAACAGGAGGAAATGTTCAAGCCACCATCGCTTACTCCTTCTGAGCAACTGGTTACTGATTATTTCAGTTCAACCCTGACACGAGATGATACTGGACGCTTCATTGTCAGACTACCCTTTGATAATTCGAAGCCAGCGCTTGGCGATTCTCTCGCTGTGGCCACGAAACGGCTCACATGTATCGAAAGACGATTTCATCTGGATGCGGAGTTCAAGAATCAATACACTAACTTCATGCGTGAATATTTGGAGCTCGGACATATGGAGGAGGTTCCGGTAGCCGAAGTTCAGAAGGTTAGCGGTGAGTGCTACTATTTGCCGCACCACGCCGTAATCAAGGAAGACAGCTCAACAACAAAACTGCGCGTTGTTTTTGACGCGTCTTGTGTGTCATCATCTGGAGTTTCGCTCAATGACAGATTGTTGGCCGGACCAAACAATAACGCTGATATCTTCACAGTTTCGTTGCGGTTCCGTTCACATCGTGTGGCTTTCCGTGCGGATGTTGCCAAATTTTACCGTCAAGTACTGGTACATCCAGCGGACCGTGACTATCTTCGTATCGTCTTCCGTGAAGAACCCGATCAGCCGTTGAAGCACTATCGCCTTTGTACAGTGACGTACGGAACGAAAACAGCCCCGTATTTGGCAATCGAGGCCATGAGAGAATCAGCTAAGCCGTACGAAACCGTTTATCCGGAAGCAGTGAAGCGGATCAAGCTTGACTTTTACGTCGACGACTTCCTGTCCGGAGCAGACGACGAGGAACAAGCAATCCGCCTGAAGCAGCAGGTGGTCGAAATCTTATCTTCAGCCGGGTTTGAACTAAGGAAGTGGTCGTCTAATTGTGAGAATCTTTTATCCAACCACTCTTCGGACGAAGCACAACCCGTACATATGAAGCTTTCGGATTACAACGAGGCAGTGAAGGCACTGGGCATCCTGTGGTATCCGTCTCGAGATGAATATGGATTCAAGGTTAGTTTTTCCCCGCACAGTGTCAACACTAAGCGCCAGATGATATCAGATTCGTCCAGATTATTCGATCCGTTCGGATGGTTGGCTCCTGTAATAGTCAAAATCAAAATTCTCTATCAACACCTCTGGCTTTTCGACATCGCCTGGGACGACCCGTTGCCGTCAGCCGTCGAGCAAGAATGGCAAGCAGTGAAGCAAAATCTTCATCTACTCGAGTCCATCCGAATTCCACGGTGTATTTTTCCAAGCCGGGACCGTGTGCAGTTACATGGTTTTTCGGACGCCTCCGAACAGGCATACGCTGCGGTGGTGTACGCGAGAACAGTCGATGATCAAGGCAACGTTTCGGTGGTACTCATTGCGGCTAAATCTCGGGTGGCGCCAATCAAGCAAGTGTCACTACCTCGTCTAGAGTTGAACGGAGCGCTGCTACTCACAGAGTTGATGCGTCGGATTACTGAAGCCTTGCCACACCAGCAGATCGAACACTGGGCATGGACAGATTCGAGCATCGTTCTGCAATGGCTGTCTTCGCATCCCCGAAGGTGGAAGACATTTGTAGGAAACCGGACATCTGCAATTTTGGATTACCTGCCACGAAGCTGCTGGAATCACGTTTCTAGCAAGGATAACCCTGCAGACGTTGCATCGCGTGGACTATCACCAGATGAACTTGTCAACAATCAGCTATGGTTTCAAGGAGCACCGTGGCTGAAAGAAGATGAATCGGGTTGGAAGCGAAGCCCAGCACCACAAGTTGTCGACGAAGATTCGTTGGAGGTCAAACCGATCAAATCGTTGTGTACACTGACGACGAAAATAATCAACTATGAGGTTGAAAAGCAGCTAATCGTTAATTGTTCCAGCTTTTCACTTTTGGTTCGTTCCTTGGCATGCGTGTACCGTGTGATCTACAACTTCAAATCCGTCGTACTCAAGCAAGGCACCAGCGAGCGACACATTGGAGAGCTGACTTTGGACGAGCTATATCAAGCTAAGATACATCTGTTGCAAGCTGTGCAGCACGAGGTATACGGCCAAGAGTTAGATTTGCTGCGGAAGGGTAAGTGTCTCCAACCTAAGCATATCCTTTCGGCATTGCATCCCTTTTTGGATTCAGAGGGAACCTTGCGTGTGGGCGGCCGTCTACATAATTCGGCCCAGCCATACGAAGTAAAACATCCAATAATCCTTCCACAAAATCATCGAGTTACGGAGCTACTAGTGCGCGATCTGCATTTGCGCAACCTTCACGCAGGATCGTCTCTTCTGACTGCAATTGTCCGTCAACAGTATTGGATAGTTGGTTGCCAGACGGTAGTTCGGAAAGTAGTGCAGGGATGTATGCGATGTGTGCGACTCAAAGGCAAGACTGCTGGTCAATTCATGGGAACCCTTCCACCGGCAAGAGTGCTAGCCACAAGAGCCTTTTCACATGTCGGCATAGACTATGCCGGTCCTTTGAAACTGAAGGCAACATGCATACGAGGAATTAAGATCACCAAGGGGTACATTGTGGTGTTTGTGTGCCTCTCAACTCGAGCAGTTCATCTCGAGGTAGCAAGCGATCTCTCATCGAACACGTTCCTTGGGTCTCTGAAGAGATTCATATCCCGGCGTGGTTACCCTATCGAAATTCGATCGGACAATGGCACCAATTTCATTGGCGCCGATCGTATACTGCAGCAATTCATCGAACAGATTATGTCAAACAGTAAGGATGCCAGCCGTTATCTTTCTAATTTGGGAATCAAGTGGGTCTTTAACCCCCCATCGGCGCCGCACATGGGCGGTATTTGGGAGGCTGCGGTACGCAGTGTCAAGAAGCATCTGGTGGCAGAGTTGGGAGAAGGAGCAATTACGTTTGAGGATGTGTCTACAGTGCTGTGCCAGATTGAATCATGCCTCAACTCGCGGCCTTTGTGCCCCTTGTCCAGTGACCCTGACTGCGCCGAGGCACTGACACCTGGTCATTTTTTGATCGGGCAGCCTATGAACCTGGTTCCAGAACCCAACATGAAGCATCTACCGTCTAACCGCCTAGATCGGTGGCAAGAAATGCAGAGGCATACCGTGAATATTTGGAACAGATGGAAGGACGAATACTTAGCAAGCTTGCAACTGCGTAGTAAGTGGCGTACTTCTCAACCAAATATCAACGTGGGTGAATAAGTGCTAGTCAAAAACGATAACGCACCACCAGCACAGTGGGAATTAGCCAGAGTGGAAATGATTCATCCAGACGCATCAGGAGTGGTTCGGGTGGTGACCTTGCGCCGTGGCTCAACTGTGTACCAACGACCGATCCATAAGTTATGTGTGCTGCCGTCTGATTGAAGCCACTTGTGGCTTCAAGGCGGGGAGGATGTTCCAGTATCGAAGCACCCCCCGACTTTGCGAGCGCCGTATTTTTACCTTCGGGTTGAACCAATTTTCTATTTCCGGAAAAAAGAATTTGAAATGTCAAGTGAGTTTAGTTTTGTTTCATTCGTCCAGAATAATAAACGTGTTTTGAAATCGTAGTAAAAAAATAAGTATATTTTCGATTTCCGAAAGGCAGTCCAAGCTTTAAATCAGCAAAAGTACAGTTCGCTAATACCCAAACAATTCCTTTTCCCTTCCGTCGTCAGTTCGTTGGGCCGTGGAACCAGAAGAAGTTGTTTATCGCCGTTATAAAACTACGATAAATCAGAGTTGTCAGCTGTTGAATTGTTACTTGGGTGATAAACTATACTATTTAATTCGAGCTCTAGAAAACATTAAGAAGCTCAATATTTAAATTTTATGACTATAAGCGAAAACATTACTGGGTACTTATTTTTAGCGCAAGAGTCCAATCAGGTACGAAATCCGCAAAATTATCCAATCGGTTATCTATATGCACCTGTAATTAATGCCTACCATTAGCATAACGGGAATCGATTTTTCTAGGTAAATATAAAACTGCCCACCAAGGTGTAGTCCATTACTGAAATTATGAGAAGAATGTTGAACATCTTCCCAGAATGACAAAGCAAAAAAAAAGTGGAGCTCAAGGGACATCTGCAACTTAAGTCGATACGCCAAAATTAAAGAGGCAGATAAGGGTCATCAATCGAAAAGATAAGTAAATGGCACAGGTAAGAGAACGGTGGAGGCCAATTCAATTCCCTAAATTGAACTAATACACTTTAGAGAACACATGTGTGTTTGTCTCTCACATCCGCTAATGCGTTATCAACTGAACTTGTAATAGGTCTTGTTCTTTTGCTCGCATTCAATGACATCTCCTCGAGTATTATTTAATTAGTGTAGTATTACCCTTAATGCAAATAAACGTCTCCACCGTGCTGTCACAGTCCGGTAACGAGCGATGAGCAGCACAAGGGACTTGGTAGGTTTAGTTTGGGATTTTATCTCGTTGATACCGAGTGGTTGCGATGAAGACCTGTAGAGTTTTATACACAATTCGCCGTTGGTAGTCGAGCCGGTTAGGTCGGCTACTATCAATTCACAATTAGATTAGACACAGTGAGGAGATGGATTCTCCACCCTAAACTGGCTTTATCTCGTGTGTCCGCTGAGACGATTGGGATAATTGTTTTACAACATTCTTTGTGGCCTGTTTTTACGAAGATAGACAAACCTTCCTAGGTTTAACAACACCGTAGTTAGAAGTGAGTGCTGCGTTCCCTAGCAGAAGATTAGTACCGGCAGCAAGGTTGTGATAACTGCACATGAATTTTCGACGCTGGTCGTCTTCTCGGGAAAGCGTGTGAAAGATGAGTACCATACAGGAGGAAGAATTGAAGGAACTCCGGGACGAGAAGCGGAATTCAACCAAATATGACAATCGGAAATCTGCAGCGTCTTGCGGGATCGATTGCATTGGACGGCACCTTCGGCAACGGATCAATATTCTGAACTGGATTGGGACCTACGACCGAGAAGATGGGATATCAGATGTTATCGCGGGTGTTACCCTTGGATTGACCATCATCCCGCAGAGTATTGCGTATGCGGCCCTTGCCGGATTGCCGTCGCAATATGGGCTGTATGCTGCGTACATGGGTGAGTTTTTTTTAAGGGAAAGGTGGTAGCTACATATTTGTTTGCGAAATGTGTAACTGTTTGGTTTAGTAGCGGTAGCCCCGAGATTATCTTGGATTTGTAGTTGATAACGAAACCAACGTTGGATTCAGCTGAAAGTGCTCATCGTGACGATTTATGGGTTTGAGAACAGCTTTGCATCACACTCATGTCATGAATATCCCAAAGTTTACGCAGTGCTTTCAAGGAAATAAAATATCCAAACACATTCCAACTGGCGAAGACCCCCTGCAATGAGATAAAGTTCTTGAAGCTGCAAAAAAACACACCCAAGAAACACCAACAGCGCTGCTGATTCAAAACATGATTAGACTTCATGCGACGAAGAGCCCCAAGAAATTAATTGTTCTTACAATCATTCATATTTTTCGGAAATGATAAGTGATGAAAAAAAATTCGCTCTACAGTGCTCAAACGGTTTCAAATCGAATCTTGATCTGGAACTTTGAACTTGTTTGCTAATAAACTGACTTGGCACAAACCATTTGAAGATTATATAGAAATTACGATAGGAGATTTCTGCATTGATGTTCAGGAGGTTAAGCCCTTTTGAATTGACACGGAATTCTGCTTCATGTGCCGGTTCGGATGTTTACTGGTTGTGTACGACTTGTGTCCTTCCCTGGCAAGGATGTTCCGCACCGTTTGAAAGTTGACGTTGTACCTTCTGGCCACATCTTGGATCGAAAGACCAGGGTTGGCTTTAACGCACCTCAACACCTTGCTGCGCAGCTGATAATCCCTGGTTCCAGTTTTTTCGTAGCTCTGCTGATTCCTTTTCACACTCAGGGTTTCCTTGTAGGTTTTGAGCACTCGACAAACTGTTGTTTTTGGCATCTTCAGCACTTTAGCTAGCGTGGAACCGGACTACTCCGGATTTTCCAGGTGTTTGTGAACAATATTTTTCTTCTTTCGAGAGTTCCATTTGACGTTATTTCTGAACGCGATCGACTACTTTGATCAAACCTGTGCCAGTTGTTTTCTATAGAAGTGTAAACAAACCACTGTCAAAGATTTTCGATTCCCAACACTAGAGGCGTGCTAGCGGCGTCAGCCTTTACTTCATTCATTACTACTAATGGATTAATGAGAAAATGTTTTAGTATGCTAAGATGCCCTGAAAGATTGCCTGCAAGAAAGACGTTGGAACTGGTTCCAACCCCGATAATAAACGAATTCGCTATAAGTGTTGGATGCTTATCTGGTTGATGTGGTAGAAAATCCCGATCTGCCTGACCAAATACTCAAAATCGATACTCGTCGAAGCAATCCCGTCCCATTGCTTGACAAACTGCCGTTAAATGGTACTGCGAACCGAGCTCTGAATTACCACGGCGCCGTTCTGCTGACGGGGGACATCCATCCTCGCTTTTGGTGCTTTTGTTGGGCCTTTCGGATGGTCGTGATTCGGTTCAATTTTTGCTATACACCACCGAGATTTTGCTGCGGCTGTCGACCGAAGTCTCCAGGAGAAAGTCGACGAAGAGAATCTGTCAGCTTGATTTGTGCTTCGTCTTCCTAACGGATTTTCACCTCGGTTTCGTCCGGTAGATCGTTGATGGGTTTGAAGTTCAAGCGAGGATCGCACTCATCGGAAACAGCAGCGACTTCATCGTCATCCTCCTCTTCGATTTCGGCAGTGGCAGCGGGAGCACTGATGCTCTGGCTGAACATTCCACGGGTGAATGGTTTGCAGCGTTGCCTTCGGAGCTGGAATTGGATGTTAATCGGTTGTTGCCCCACCGGAAGATATTTTCTAAACCGGAAACTGTGGCGGCGGGTGCCGTTGGAGGGGCCATGGTTGAAATATTGCTCAGTCGAAAGAGGATCAGAGTTAGTTAGTACCACATTGGCTGGTGATGCCTGTTCGAATAGGACTGCTGTTACTACTGGAGAAATCTAAGATGATGGGATCGCTGCATTATAGGTGGAATTTCAGATGTTTAGAAGAATATTGGAGAGCTTTTTTGATCAGAGATGATCCTTTCGGAGTGACGACTGGGACTGGTTGCTGAGGAGGAAGAACAACCCTTAAAACTGGTTGGAAGTGTAGGTTGTTATTGGTAGTAAACAGGCACCGGCACAGGTTCTTCGAAAGGCTCAGAATACACTTGGGATTACTTTATTTCCTAACAAAACAGACGTCTAATCTGAGACGTACATATAGGGGAAATGTAGGTAATGCCGGCCTATATGTCCCTAATTTGGGCTCGTCGCTAAAAGTCTGCTATTTATCAATTTTATCTAGATGAACGCGTCATTAGGACGGTACTAATGGATATTTTTGGTCGCTATTGAAAATTTAGTCGATTGCTGGATTTATGTATGGGCCCAAATTAGGGACATGTAGGCCGACATTACCTACATTTCCCCTATGCTTAAAAAGAGTAAACAGAGTAGGCAGAGAAAATATTGAGGTACATTGAGTTATTCGCGAGTTACTCGCTGCAAAAAAGCAACTCAGAGTAATTCTGTCTCACCCCTTGCGTTGACCAACGTATTTTTCGTCAGCGAATTAAACATGTTTTGCTTTAAATTTGTTAATTTGTGTGCTGAAATTTAGTTTTAAGTGTTCATAAAGTTATCGTTTACTGATATATCGTGTTTGTCTGTATTTGCCTTGAGTGACTCGGTTAACCTTGAATCTAACCTAAAAAATCTACGATGCAGCTTCAGTTTCATTGTTCGGTGTCGATTTTCATTGCCTCCCGGGAGCCCAGTTCTCCGAGTTTGGATGCCAGACTTTCGACGTGTAGTTCTATTGAGAGGTTCGTCACCGTGGGCGAGTTTGAAACCGGTCCGGTTCGTGAATTAGCCCGGGAACGTGCTGATAATGTGTCCGTCGCGAGTTTTGGTGGTGACGCGGTGGCCGACGTTGCCGTGAATCAGCAAGTTTTCCGCTTGCAAAAGTGCTCGGCTGCTGGTCTCTCGCCGGTGTCGGAGATTGCAAGCAATATGAAAGATGCCTCGCTGGGTGGTAGCTGGTAGCCACGAAACGTTCCTGAGGAAAGCACTAGACTCGAAGCTCCTCCCAGATGACCATGGCAATGCAAGACAATTTGTGTTCGTTGAAGGAAGTATTTCGACAAAGGCCCGGGGCAAGACAGCTGCTAATCATGAGCAATTTCGGAGCTGCTTTTGATGCACCTAGAGTAACTTACATTGCTCAGTGAGAAAGATCACTGTAATTTGCTTTCTCACGCTTCACAGCAACCTATGAAGACGCACCTTCATGCGGAGCAGAAAAGTTGCTGTCAATCAAAACAACAATAAAAAAACATGTTTACAGAACTCAATAGCTCTGCGAAACTCGGAGACACTTAAATTGATTGATTTGATTATGCTGCATCATCTCTGCTTGATAATCTTCATTCAAACCTTACCAACTTTGAACGTGAACGAAACCTATTGCTGCCTAGCTGCCTTACACTTACCAAGGGCGAATGCTTGTCCGGCTTGATATGGCGGAAAAACTCGATCTGCCTGACAAAATACTCAAAATCCGGCAAATTACGTACCCCGCACGTATTACAACCCAACAAACAATTTGAGTTGATTAAGAGCTGAATAAGCCATTTTTTAGCTGACGAAGTTCAGTTTTCTCTGAATAAGCTCTTATTCAACATTGAACGTTTGTTGGGAATACTCGTCGAAGCAATCCCATGGCAAACTGCCGCTGGATGAAATTGCGAAACGAGCTCTAAATTACCACTGTGCCGTTCTAGTAACGGTGGACACCCGAGCAAAGTTAGAGATCAAATTGAAATCAGAATTTGCTGTTATGATGTAACTTATTTTGAATACTCCATTTGATCTCATTTTGGTTGACTTAACGGTTAACACAGCAAAAATGAGAGCAAAATTTTACACTGTTGAATTAAATGGAAAACTAATTCTGCTCTCAATGAAATCAATTTGATTACTGATTTTGCATTCATAATATTTGACTGAATACGGGCCTGTAGTAAATGGTTAGCATCCATGCTTCTTACGCTGAACGATTTGAGTTCAAATGTCACCTCGGGCTAGTCACGAATGACCTAAAATGTGTTAAACAAAACAAATAAACAATAATCGTTAGTTCAACGACAGATGAACTTACAAATTTTAAACAAGAAATTAACAGCAGAATTTCAAGTTAAGTTGTTAAGTTTAATAAGTATTGACTGCATAATGAACGCACAATATGATATCAGACTTCTGTCGCGACAATTGAAGTCAAAATGAGTTTTCATTATGATACGAACTGCAAACTTTAATATCGATTTGCTTTCATTTTGTTAACCGACTTTGCTCGGGCATCCATCCTTCCTCTTTTGGTGCTTCTGCTGTGCCTTCCGGATGATCCTGATACGGTACCGTTTCTGCGATACACCACCGTGATTTTGCTACGGCCGTCCACGGCAGTCTCCTTTAAAGTAGAACATCACTACATACGTGTGTTCTTCGGTTTCTCGTTGGCTAAGTCCATAGCGGCAGCGCTGACGATATCGAGTGATTGGTAGCGATCTTGTGAACTTAATCACGTCTCATGACGGTCCTGGTCTTAACATGGCCGTGGGAATGAAAAGAGAAACTCGACGAAGATTATCTGTCAGCTTGCTGTGTTCTTCGTCTTCCTGACCGGTTTTCACTTCGATTTCGTCCGGTTGAGAAACGAGAATCGCACTCGCCGGAAACATTGGTAGCGGTTACTTCAACGTCCTCCTCCTCTTCGGCTTGGGAAATGACGGCGGCTACTCTGGCTGAACATTCCGCGGGGGTAATGGTTGGTAGCGTTGCCGTCGGAGCTGGAATTGGGTGTTAATCGATTGTTGCCCCACCGGGGAGATGTTTTCTAAATCGGAAACTGTAGCGGCGGATTTTATTGGAGGGGCCACGGTTGGAATATTGCTCACCACGCTATGCTTGATGTGCTGTGATGGAATCTTCACGCTGTAGCTAACTTGCATCGTGCTACC